TGGATGCAAATCCATGGGTGAGCAACCTGAAAAATCATTGGATACGAAATCCATTATTGGGTGAGAAACCCTGAAATTTATTTGGGATGAGAAATCCATGGGTGAGAAACCCCGAAATATCAATTTGGATGAGAAATCCTTATGGTTGAGAAACCCTGAAATTTATTTGGGATGAGAAATCCATGGGTGAGAACCCCAAAATATCATTGGATACGAAATCCATTATTGGGTGAGAAACCCTGAAATTTATTTGGGATGAGAAATCCATGGGTGAGAAACCCCGAAATATCATTGGATACGAAATCCATTATTGGGTGAGAAACCCTGAAATTCATTTTGGATGCAAATCCATGGGTGAGTAACTCCGAAGATATTTTGGATGCAAATCCATGGGTGAGTACCCCAGAAATTATTTGGATGCAAAGTCCGTCGTTGGGTATTAAACCTTGAAATCAAAGTATCGGGTTTTGCACCCCGAAAACAATCTTGGATAGAGATAGGAAAAATTCTGCAACTGGGGAGATGTTTTGCCTGGTCCATGACGTTGTGCCTCTGCGACATTCTCAAATATGGCATCCCATAATTGATTTGTTACAAACAATAAAGGGAAAAGCCTATAGGTTAAAAAGAATTAAAAAGGAAGGCCGCATGTCGAATGACCTCTCTTTTGACTGGGAAGAAAACGGGCCATACGGCTGATTGGCTATCAAAGAAAATTTGATATTGGGTTCTCTTTGATTGTTTACAAGCAAGGAGAAACAAAAAAGGTTCGATGCAACATGTGTTTTTGCCAAATTCTTATCCCCTCCAACAAGTCGTATGCAAGAGACCAGAGAAGAAAGAATTGGCAAGTTTGACAAAAGCTAACAAACCCAAAGCTGCCAGCTGCATCAATCCAAATACAGAAAGTTTGGGTGCAAACTCATGCTAACCAATCCAAGGGAAGTGCAGATTTCTCTAAGTTCATCCTCCACGGTTCAAGTTATCAAGCTTCTAAATAGGAAGCAGCAGAACTATGGAAAAATAAGATAAATCGAGGAGATACAATACTTTTCTTTTGCTTCATGGAGAAGCAAAAGGCCCCATCCCAATGACAAGCGGAAGGGAAAATCAAGCCACAAGGTAAAGTGATTGCTCAAATTGCTTTAACACCATTTCACTTGAATAAGCATTCGGAAGCCCTCAAACCAAAAGGCTCAAATAAAGCTTTAGCAACAGACTCACAGAGTAGCTGGCTTGTACTGACGTCAAGAAGTCAGAGACGATAAAAAAATATTCAGAGGTGTGATTGTTTGAGAGGGCCCATTCTTTGTAAATGTCCAGTAAGCTCAGGAATATGTTTTACAATATGAAGCAAGCATTGAGCTTCACACAGATAGAAGACAATGTGAAGGTTTGAAACCAAGGCTATTTCAAGTCCCTCACATCACTGTTGGTGTCTGCAACAAATGAAAGCAAAGAGTCCAGGCACTTGTGCTCTTTTGTATTCCAAGGGACGAAGACGCAAGGTCACTACTTGCAGCACCAAGCTAAGCAAAATGGCAGCAAAGGCACGAAGGATCAATAAAATGCTTATGGCATTCAGGTTTATCTGCCTCAATTCTCAAATACAACGGGCTTGGTCATTAAAAAATTCCAGTTGGTGAATAATTGATACAAAGTCTCAAATTCACAAATTATGGATTAATGGGCTCAAATAAAAAGAGTCTCATTAATTCCCAAATCGCCAAGTGAAGACCCAAGTGGTACAAAACCACACCAAATCCCTAATGCAAATGTCAATTTTAGAAAATTAGTGGGTTAATCAAAATTGCTCATTATTTTTCTTGGACATTGACAAAAAAGAAAGATGGTACAAAACCATCCAATTTTCCCCATGGGTCATCTACCCATGCAAATTTTGTTGAGATTAATCTCAAATCTCTCAAACACAAATTCTCAATTAGTGGGCCACACTTACCCATTAATTTCCAATTTTTCTCATAGGTCATCTACCTATGAAATTTCAACATCTCCAAATTGTCTCAAAGACACAAATTCTAAATTATTGGGGTCACACTCACCCATTAATTTCCAGTTATTCCCATGGGTCATCTACCCATGCAAATTTCAATGAGATTAAATTCAAATCTCTCAAACACAAATCCTCAATTAGTGGGCCACACTTACTCATTAATTTCCTGTTTTTCTCATAGGTCATCTACCTATGAAAATCTCCAAATTGTCTCACAGGCACAAATTCTCAATTAGTGGGCCACACTTACCCATTAATTTCCAATTTTTCCCATAGGTCATCTACCTATGAAAATCTTCAAATTGTCTCAAAGATACAAATTCTAAATTATTGGGCCACACTTACCCATTAATTTCCAAATTTTTGGAACTACGTTGGTTTGATCCTGTCAAGGGTACGTAGGCAGTCTAGCATCCTACTAGACGCAACCACAACAAAATTTGAATCACTGGTTACATCAACCAAATTCCCACAAATCAAATATCCGTCTTTACACAAATTCTAAATTATTGGGCCACACTTACCCATTAATTTCAAATCTTTTTGGAACCACGCCGGTTTGATCCCATCAAGGGTACGTAGGCAGTCTAGTATACCAATAGACGCAACCGCAATCAAATTCCCACCAATCAAATCTTCATACAAATCTTTTTGGAACTACGCCGGTTTGATCCCATCAAGGGTACGTAGGCAGTCTAGTATACCAATAGACGCAACCGCAATCAAATTCCCACCAATCAAATCTTCATACAAATCTTTTTGGAACTACGCCGGTTTGATCCCATCAAGGGTACGTAGGCAGTCTAGTATACCAATAGACGCAACCGCAATCAAATTCCCACCAATCAAATCTTCATACAAATCTTTTTGGAACTACGCCGGTTTGATCCCATCAAGGGTACGTAGGCAGTCTAGTATACCAATAGACGCAACCGCAATCAAATTCCCACCAATCAAATCTTCATACAAATCTTTTTGGAACTACGCCGGTTTGATCCCATCAAGGGTACGTAGGCAGTCTAGTATACCAATAGACGCAACCGCAATCAAATTCCCACCAATCAAATCTTCATACAAATCTTTTTGGAACTACGCCGGTTTGATCCCATCAAGGGTACGTAGGCAGTCTAGTATCCCAATAGACGCAACCGCATCCACACAAAATCCCAAGTGGTACAAAACCACACCAAAATCCCAAGTGGTACAAAACCACGCCAAAATCCCAAGTGGTACAAAACCATGCAAATTAAACAATCTTTTCCGAACTACGTTGGTTTGATCCCTTCAAAAGGGTACGTAGGCAATCTAGAGATTCAATCTAGATGCAACCGCCCAAATCTCAAATCCAAACAGAATCCCTGGTTATTCTTAATCAAATTCACCCCAAACACACATCAAAATCGAATCCCTGGTTTATTCAGCTAAATTCACTCAGACACTGTCTCAATCAAATTCGTACATATTTTTCCTTTTTGCAATGTGTCATCTTCATTGCGAGTTCTTAGAACTACGAGTGGCTTGATTCCCGCGAGGGATACGTAGGCACCCTGAGGTTGGACTTGGGAGCAGCCGCAAAACCAAACACACACGTTCTGTTTCTTTATGATGGAATCAAAGGGTTTTTCCCTTCAAACAAGGGATTGTAATTAAGAGACTTGCGTCTTGAATGGGTCGAACCTAAAATAATAAAACCCCATTATTTAATTAGTGGTGATGAAATTGTGTTGGGAGGCTCACATTTATCTTCAACAGTATTAAAATAGAAAAATCCATTAGATAATGAATTATTGGTTCTAAGCCATCTCTGGCGAGCCATCTCTGGCGATGAATAAAAAATTCAAAAAAACTTCTTGAGTACTCTCGATAAGAAACGATCGAGAAATGACAAAGCAATGTCCTACAAGCCGCCCCTGTCAATCCCCCATTTATTCAGAATTTTAGTTGTTACCCTCTTTCTTTTGCACTATTAAATTTTACTATAAATTGATTAGATGACTGATTTTCCACACAATAAAATTAAAGAATAAGCACTTCTTTCCTCCACAAGTATCTTCTACAGTTAATTATATGGTTAAAGCAGGAGTTTATTTCTCTCCTAAATTGCCATAATGCCCTCAAGATCCACCTTATTTACCTGTGTGTGTTATAAGTTTTCAAATTATAAAGCAATTCAAATCACTTTTTTATATAAATAAATACAAATCATATTCTAAAGTATTTAAAATTAATCTAATTTATGGGAAGGGAGACTCAAACTTGGATGCAAGACGGCAAGTTCACCGTCCTTGCCTACTTCAAATCACCATTTTGTTATAAAACTTTGTTAACTTGCCTAACCCACATCAACTTTAAATCACTATTTTGTTATAAAACTTTCATTGGTCTTATGAGTTGTTTTCATTTCTACTCCTGTTTTTTGAGTTGGAAATAGAAAAACGATATCTTGAACTAAGACCTTATTTTTTTCAATCCATTTTGAGTTTCCTTCTTCAGATTCAGAATACACTTTTCCTTTTGTGTTTGTAAAGGGATTTTGATTAGAGAAAAAGTTAATTGTAAATATTTGAACGAGCGAATGGCATTTTTGCAAGAATGGTCACGACTTCCTGTAATCTGCTGGCGCAGCTGAAGCCACGAGTGGTATGAGAAAGCAAGCGTACAGAAAGCAAATCCCTAATCGAGGTGTCCGTGACTTTTTTTTTGTTTTTAATGAAAGGTCCGTTACGTTTGCCCATGCTAGAACCACGTGAAAAAAGGCCCGACATCTCAGTCAAGTATGGCAGCTACAATATTAATTAATACATTATATTACAGAAAGACACATGATTTAATATTAATAAATACATTATA